CTGATTGCCTAAATCCAACCTGTCCTTCAAGAACTGACTGAAGGTCCCACTTTCTTGAAAAAGCCTATCTGATTGCTTTAGCTTCAGTTTAACAATTAAGGGTCAGCACTACTCAAATCACTTTGTAATATTTAATTCTTGCATTTCTCTTTGTATTTAAACTTGTCTTTGAGCTCTTCATATGCTATGCTCGTGTCTTAAAGTTTATTTCTTTCTTTTATTCTGCCTTTTACCATAGGAACGCAATAATTAGATAATCATTCATGAACATCTCCATAGAAACCCTATTTCTTATCTTGTTAAATGTAGTCATATGATTATTTTCCTTGAAATGACTCAAGGTGATCAAATTCTACTCATTGTTGAGGTTAAAATTTCCTTCTTATGAGTTATTCTTTTTTAATTTCATAATCTGTTTGGCCCACATTTTGTCTACACATCTGTTGGCCTTCACTCTCCTTGCCATGGTCGCCCTTTATGCGTTTTTTTTGTACTGAATGACTGAAGGACTGAATGCACGTAATTGTAAAGATACTTTATGGTGACCACAATCTCCCAGGCCCTGCCAGATGCACAGAGGAAACAGGGTACATGCTACTTTCCCTGTCATCCAAGAGCTTTCAGTATTATGGGGCCATGGCACGTGCCTCCAAACTATGGAGTCAGAGAGGAGGGCACACTCTGAGTCAGGGAGATGTGTTTCGAGGAGGGGAAGTCTCACTGGGCTTTGCATGTAGCCATGTTTAGGGCAAGCACTATATCCAATCAAGTATTTTCTACCATCTTAAAATGCCTAGCCCAATGTAGAGTAGTTTCTTAAATGTTGATTTTATTGAATGGAATTTGATTTATTTCAGTAAGAATATTTTTTTGGTCTTTTTAAAAAGATGTTTAAAAATGTTAATTTTCTTGATAAGACACATATAACATAAAGTTTACCATCGTAACCATTTTTTCAGAATGGTTAAAAATGACAGCTCAATGGTGGCATTAAGTACATTCACATCATTGTGCAGCCATCGCCACCACCACCTCCGGGGCTGTTTTCATCTTGCAAAACTGGAACTCTGTACCCATTAAACAGTACCTTCCATTCCTCCTTCCCCACATGCCCACCCTGGCAGCCCCATTCTACTTTCTGTCTCTATAAATTTGACTGCTCTAGGTTCCTCATATAAGTGGACTCCTACAGTATTTGTTCTTTTGTGACTGACTTGTTTCACAGAGCGTCATGTCCTCAGAGTTTACCCATGTTGCACCACGTGTCAGAATTTCCTTCCTTTTAAAAAAAGTGAATAATGTTCCTTATAATTTCAAGAGTGAATAATTGTGTGGCTATAGCACATTTATTTATCCATTCTTCTGCGGATGGACAGTTGGGTTGCTTTGGCCTTTTGGCTATTGTGAATAACGCTGCTGTGAATATGGGTATAGGGTCTCAATTTTTGAATAAGGTTGTACACTCCTATCTCTTAAACCTTTAGGCCTTACATGTTCCTCTTTTTCTGACTCTGCTAGATATTTATTTGTGCTTTCAAAATCATTGTAACTTAGACTTTCTCAACATACTGTATTCACGAGAATAGATATTTGAGAATAGGTATTTGCTGATTAATTTGGAGAAGTAAATTAGCATACTGAATTTAGACTTGTGTTTTCCTTCCGTTTTTATTCCTAGGGTTTGCAGTGACCGCACAGGTGGACGAGCACCAGCGTCTCAGCAGGATATTTATCAGTGACGTTCTCCCTGATGGCTTGGCATATGGGGAAGGTCCGTGTGGCAGAGTGTCTCTGTTCTCTCTTAATTCACAACTGTGGAATGTGGCCTGGCTAGTGAAATTTTCTTCTTACAGTTTTGTCAGAAAAAACAGTTTCTCCTAGAATCTTAAAGTACACTTAATAGTTTAATTGAAAATACATATGCATGCATAGAGAGACTGTTGATGTGTGTATGTTTAGAAAGAGTATGTACCTACACAGAGAGAACATACATGCATATTCTATAGATGGATGGAGAAAGAATGGGAGAGCCATACAGGCAGACAGATACATAAAAGAAATGCAATTTCCCAGGGCACTTAACATCACATACATAGAAGAACAATTCATCTGAATGGCTCTCACATTGTCTCCCTTCCTGACTATTCCTTCTAATGCTAGCCTTGGGAGAGCTGACATTTGTTTGGTTACCAGTGGCATCTACGTAACTGTTGGCGCTGTCTTTGAAGATGACAACAGAACAGCCACTAAGAGCCCGCAGTTTGAGTGCAGCAGCCTTCCTTCAACCTGGACTGCTTCTCACTGATCTCTTTCCCTTTTCTTCCTCTGTTTCCCCGTCTTCGTTCTAGGGCTGAGAAAGGGCAATGAAATCATGACCTTAAATGGGGAAGCTGTGTCTGATCTTGATCTGAAGCAGATGGAGGCCCTGTTTTCGGAGAAGCGTGTTGGGCTGACTCTCATTGCCCGGCCGCCTGACACGAAAGGAACCCTGTGTACTTCCTGGTCAGACAGTGACCTGTTCTCAAGGGACCAGAAGAGTCCACTGCCTCCTCCTAACCAGTCCCAGCTTCTGGAGGAATTCCTGGATAACTTCAAAAAGAACACGGCAAATGGTAAGCTTTTTTCTCTCTTCCTTCTGAACTGCTGGTATCCACAGCTAAAAGTTTTAGGTTATTATGTTGCTTGCAAACTTAGATGATGTAAGCTGTTCAAAGAGTGGGTTTTTTTCCCCATTTATTAGGAGAATACAAATGCCAAACCAAGTAGACTTGATTAAAATTCCATGCATTTTAGTAATTATAACACTTTCACGAAGGTAGAAAATAATTAATTTCGCACAAAGGAACGTACTTTGAAATTGCAGAATCTTTTTCAACTAACCCATGATATTTAGTATTGTAATTGCTTTGTGAGGGAAGGTAAATGGAAGCCGACATAAATGCCAAAGCTGATTTTATATTCAGTTGAATCAAAGGCAGAAACATTTTGCAGTAATCTATTGGGTTCTTAGAATAGTTGATGCAGTTCAGTTCTTTACCTCTTTTGTTAAGTACGACTTTCTGAGTCAACTGCAAGCTTTTAATGTAGGTCATGAATTTTGAAATCTTGTACAGGCCCCAAAATGAAAAACTGTTTGCCAGTTTATTTTTCTAAAGGTAAAATTTCCATATGAGGAAATCATTTGAAGGTTTGAATTTCTGAGCTTATCATTCATGCATATTTCATACATTGCAGTCAAGTAAATTATGGGCTCCAGCTAATACTGAAAACCTGCCATCTCCCTCTGTGCTCCTGGAGGAAGCCGGTCAAGCCCCCACAGGAGACTGAGCAGGGCCTTTATCCTGCAAGCACACAGAGTAATTTTTATACTTAATTACCACGATAGTGGATTTCTGATTGACATCTCTACCTGATTGCCAAAAAAGAGTGACATTCACAACAAAGAAGTTGTTAGGATGGATTTAATTATAAAGCAAGTTTCTTAGGTCATTTTTGGAGTTAAAAAATCATGTTGTAAGATTTGTGATTTAGTAAGGTTCATAGTGCTTTCTCCTCCTCGCTCAAGCCTTCTCTGCAATTTAAAATTCCATGAAATTGACTATCGCCATGTTAAAGTGAGTGTCATAAAACCAAAGTTACGATGGAATTAATTAATTGCTCGGTTCTATGAGGGCCATCATTGGGCTGCCCTGGGCTGCGTTCGAGTCCTGAGTGTTCCGCATAATACACGCCTGTGTGCGCTTGCTCGATTCATTATTCTTGAGGGATACATTCCTGCCTGCCTTCTCTCTATGTATTTTATCATAATAGGAAACCTCTGCAGAGTCATAACACTTTTGGTACTTGCCAGAGTGAGTTTCTACCGAAAGCAGCAAAAGTAGCCAATTTACCTTTTTATTTGTTTGTTTTAATAGAAAGGGTCAAGCAGGTCAGTTAAACTTGTTTACCACTTTTTTTGGTTTGGAAGCAGAATAAAGCAGAGGTCCAGATATGTTAGGTAGCTCTGACGTGACTCGTCCTAGGGAGCCGTCTCCTGATGGTGTCAGCCCTTATCACTTAGCCAAGGAGCGCCCGTGTCTGTGTGTGTAGATGGCCTCGCGTGTCGGACTGTGGCGGCGCTGGTCCACAGCTGCTCTTCGCACAGGTCCGTGCGCAGCTGCAGTGCACACATCTGCTCATCTTTCCGTAGACGGTGCTTCCCCATCCGAGTGGAGACAGCCACTGACCACTCCTGGGGTTCCTGGCGAGACTGCGTGCTCTGTGGGGTGACTCATTCTCTGCCCGGGGAGCACACCACCACCCTTCTTCTGCCTGGCCTTACTGTCCGGCCCTTTTACTGTTCCTTAGTAATGTGCTTATGTTGGAAGCAAAACAGCCACAGTGGACTACTCCCCAAACACGTTGCGCATATGGAATTTGTTTTTTTTTTTTTTGAAGTAGTTACACAGCTCTTGAAGGAAGTTACATGCCTGTGAGTGAGCACCTCAGAAGGGAGTCTGTCCATTTTTAAGATTAGGGGAGAAGAAAATAAGGAGTATGGGTAGTGAGAAATTGAGACAGAATAGAAGTGGGAGTGAGCCTGTTGTTTGTGCGTACTATCATTGTTATATGGGAAGCCTGCATTTGTGGGAACCGAGAGGTGGGGTGATGTGGTGACAAGCCTGCAGGCTTTGAGTCAGACCTGGGTTCGAGTCCTGATCTGCCCTTTCCAGGTTGTGTGAGTTTGGGGGCTGCCCTCAACCAGCTAGGTGTCGGCTTCCGTATTCCCTGCTGAGACAATTCTTTAGACGGTCCTGTGAAATCGAGTTCCAATTGCACGTGGCAACCTCATTTTCACAGCTTTTATGGGCTTCCTAGCCTATGGTCTCACTTTCCCTGCTCCCTCACTTGGGAATTTTGGGGTCACCTTCCAGATAAACTTCTGTGCCCACATCCTGGGCTCAGACTCTGCTTCTGGGAAGCCCAGATGAAGACACTGAACCTTGGTTGCACCCCTACCCTAGGGTCCCTGGGAAGTTGAGAGAGACGGGGTCTGCGCGTGTCCTGCCCAGCTCCTTACGTGGCAGGAATTCTGCAAATGTGCTTCTCCTTTTCCCTCTCCTGTGCAGCCTAATGTGTGTTTTTTTTAAAAAAAAACGACCTTGATTTGCTTTAGCAATGAATTAGAAAACAGAAATCTCATATTTTTTTTGCTAAAAAGAAAAAAAAGTTACACAAGTAAAAATTTAAATGCCTTTGAAAAACAATTTTTCATACAAGTGTGAATTTTAGTTAGGAGTGGTCATTTCAGAGTCTGCCTTTCCCTAAATTTCAGGTTCCCTGGGCATTACCAGAAGGCAGCATGGGACAGTCGTCCCTCGGTAACCATGGAGGATTGGATCCAGGACCCCTATGGATAACAAAATTCATGGGTGCTCAAATCCCTCATTTAAAATGGCACAGTATTTTCACATAACCTGCACACATCCTTCCGTACAGTTTAAATCCTCCCTAGATTACTTATAATACCTAACACAATGTAAATGCTATGTAAACAGTTGTTACGCTGTTTGTTCAGGGAATAATGACAAGAAAAAGTGTGTACATGTTTGGTACAGACACAACCATCATAGGCCGTCAGCAGCAATGTAACTTTTTCTCCCCAATATTTTCAATCTGGACTTGGTTGAATCCGCAGATGCAGAACCCAAGGATATGAAGGGTCCACTATACTTGAAAAAAGATTTTCCCATTTTATTTTCCAGAGAAGGAAGCCAGTCCTCTGCCTGCTAATAAAAACCATACAGCTGGCTCTCTGGAAGGGAAGCTGTTTTATATAGAGAAACTATAATAATATCAGCAGAGGAAGAAGCAGCCCTAAGCAGTCCTTATGGGTGTATCATGACTATCCAAGCTGAATACTTACTGACTGCCCCCCGCTCTCCCCCGGTGCTTAAAGTGTGAGAAGCCCTGGGAGTACGCTACATGGAGTTCAAGGCTTTGGTCTACTTTGGTTTGGTCAGATGTCTAGAAATTGTATTTGTTAGCTTTAGTCTCTCAGTCAGGTGTGACCAAAAATACACTCTAATTTTTTATATATCTGTCTGAAACGAGTCTTGGCCACAGTAGCAGGTCACAAGAAGCCAGTGGTTGCTGTTTAGGTTCTGTGCTTTTCTAGAAAAGAAGCATCCTCCTGGCATGAGAGACTCATTGATATGTATAACGTTTAGGGCAATGCTTCTCACAGTCACCTGATGAGCTTGAGCCAATACAACTTCCTGGGTCCTGCTGTCAGAGAGCCCCCTTCAGGCGGTCTGGGGTAGTGCAAGGTCCTTTGTGAAAGCTTTCACCCATACCGCCCTGTGGCGGTTAGTCTGAAGGAGGTGGGTCTGAACCTGAGCATAGGACCTACCACTTTCTGAACCCTTCTGTGCCAAGGTTTTGAGGATTACATGCAATAATATGTGTGAAGTTCTCAGTCAGTCGTAGCTTTTGTGCTTGTGCATTGTTATTCTCTGAATTAGGGGTTATATGCCCCAGTTCTCCACTGTCCTAAGTGTGTCAGAATGCAGCCAGTCGACTTGTTAGCGCACCTCATTTGTTCCTCAGGAGACCCTGTCCCACTCAGCAAACTGAGTGCACTGAGGAACAAAGAACTTCCAGCATCACCGGCTCTGCTGTGATATTCCCATGATGCTCTGTGAGGAGCAGAACAGACAGGAATACATTGAGAATTGATGAGCATTCAATATCAAGTTCCTTTGTTTCCCTAGAAATGAATGACAGTTTGATTCTTGCCTTTAAGGGTTTGAATTTCTGTCCACCACAGAGAGTAGAAATATCCATAGGCTGTGTTTGACTTGATCGGAAAAAGCGTCTATAGAGACTCTTTACAGAGAGAATTAATTTTACCACTGGAATTCCCCAAAGAGGCGGGTGTTATTTTTTTAGCCAACAGGATGAGTGCTGAAGGAATTGGATGTGCCAGCCCTGTTTATACTGGGTTCCTATTAATGCTGTTTTTGTGATTTAAGTAGGAAAATCCCTTTTGTAGTATATATGCCATCTTTTAAAAAATTCCAGCAGCTTTTAAGAGAGTCTCATGGGGCATGGAGTTCCTGAACAAAGTCTTTATGTAAGCCATGAACTTGTTGTGGCATGAATGTATTTTCCATCTATAAACAGCTATTAATACTGCATTGTTAGCACTGGGGATTTATTTAACAGGAGACAAAAATAGAAAAGACCTATGTTCCTGCTTCCATTTAGACACCATCAACCCAGCAAATGCTTCCCAGATGACGACGGTAATTGCCGCCTGAGGTTCTTTTTTTAATCCCTCACCCCACTTTGAATCACTCTCTTTTTAAGTTGATGTGTGAGTAGGGTAGTGTCTCAAAGTACCAGAAGCCACTTAGATGCAAATTTACTCTTTGGAATGAGTTGCTCCGGGAGTGTATGTGTCCATTATACACCTTTTCACCAGAGGAAGAATTACGGAGCCAGCTCTGATGTGGCAAACCGGCTTGTTTCCTGTTTATGAGAGTGAGGGCGTTTTGCCTTCTGAAGTCAGGTTTAGGATGACTAACAGTATTTAGCTCAGAGAATGCTCTCGCTCTGTGTGTGTGTGTGT